TTTTTCCATAAAAAATTCAGTTTCAAGAATGAAATTAAGGAAGATGGCCTTAATTTCGTTGAAACGAAGGCTGAAATTAAGGGAAATATCAAATGCAACTACGCGTAAAATAAAATTTAAGGAAATGATAAAGTTGAGATAACGAAAAAGGGACATTTTTTTAAAATAAATTTTAGTCATAAATTCAATAAAACTAAATGAATATTTTAAAAGTAGTGCAAATTTTTAAATATGAATATAGAAAAAAAATGTAACTTGTATTAATTTAATTAAAGTAGAGTGAAAAATAATAATGCACTACCTGAAATCCACTAAAACTAATAAAACTACTGATTGCCTTTTTTAATAGTTATAATAATTAACTATCATAATTTCGGAGATACATATGGTATTAGTATAAACACTTTCCAAATTAATTTAATTTAATTTTAACAAAATTAAGGAAATTTGGTTGTTTGAACAGAGCATTACCTATTCTCTTCATATATTGCCTGAAAAAAAATCGATTGATTTGGTTGAATCTGTTCAATGTTATGTGTATTAAAGTTATATGTTCATTAGCTTTATCAAAATTCCAATTAAAATTAAAGTTTATTTTATTATTTAAAATTAATTTTGCTACATTATAAAAACATCATAATAGTACCCTGTAGATAACTATAGAATGGAGTCGAAATATTGATATAAATAAAAAACTAATTTATAAAAAAAATAGTATATTGTTTAACAATTTACCAATTAACCTGTTTCAAAAACAAAATTATTAATAAAATGTATGGCCGTTAAAACAATAAATTAATTATTAATATTAATTAATATTAATTAGTATTTGAAAATGTTATGTTCATTGACTTCATGGAGCTATGTTTATAAAAGTGTAATATCTATATACATAGTAGTATTTTACCGCACATTTTATTTTGGTTTTTTATTATCACGTGTAAATAAATAGGTGAATAAGTACAAGAATTTTACATATTGTATGTTAAATGAATACAATATATTATTGTGTGTAAAGTATGTTATTATTTTGTCCAACATGCGGTAATATTTTAATGGTTGAAGAAGATACCGTGGGTGATCGTTTCAGTTGCAATACATGTCCATATATATGCAAGATTAAAAAAAAGATTTCTGCAAAAAGTTATCCACGTCTTAAGGTATAATTATTATATTTTTGTTAAGAAAGATTTTTTATAATTTGCAAACGTAATGTTTAGGAAGTTGATCATGTTATGGGTGGTGCAGCTGCCTGGGAGAATGTAGATTCTACCGATGCTGAATGTCCAGTTTGCTCGAATAAAAAGGCTTATTTTATGCAAATGCAAACACGTTCTGCTGATGAACCAATGACAACATTTTATAAGTGTTGCAATCAATTGTGTGGACACAATTGGAGAGATTAAAGTGATAATAATTTATACTAACCAAGAGTTTAATATATTAAATTCAATGTTGAGTCTGAAAGAAATTATAAATTTAGGTTTACATTTAAGAAAATATTTAACGAGCAGTGCAACGCAGCTGCTGCCAACAATAAAGATGCGCAATGTATATAAAGTTGAGGATTCAAATACGTTAGAGATAGCTTGTAAATTGCTTTGTGATGATAAAGTTATAGGATTACCAACGGATACGGTTTATGGTTTAGCATGTGATGCCAATAATGAAAAAGCAATACAAAAAGTTTACGATATAAAAGGACGTCATTTCGACAAGCCTGTTTCAATATGTGTGAAGAATCTTACAGCATTACGACGATTTGGAGATGCACGACATCTTGAAGATGAACTTCTTAAGCGTTTATTTCCAGGACCAATAACTATTGTTATTGAACGTACAAACCATTTAAGTAATCAGTTTCTTAATCCAAAGAGTAGCAAAATTGGTATAAGAATACCAGATTATCAGTTTATACGAAATCTATGTGAAATGTATAATGCACCTTTGGCATTGACAAGTGCAAATCGCTCTTCTGAAAAGAGTAGTTTAAATGTTGATGAATTTAGTGGGCTTTGGCCAGAGCTCGGGGCTGTTTTTGATGCTGGACAAATTGGTCTTACTGAAGAGAGAAGATCCGCTTCCACAGTCATTGATTTATCACAACCAGGATTTTATAAAATACTTCGTGAAGGTGTTGCATTAAACGACACATTAGAAATTTTACAAGAATTTGGTATAAAACCTAATAAAAATTCTTGAGTTCTATTTAAATGCAGAAAAATTATAAATAAGTAAAATTATTGTAATAAACGTTTTAAAAATATATTTAGATTTAAGTCTAAGTCTTAAATAATTATAAAATATACTTTCAATTAAAACAACTAATAATTATAACAAGGAAGCACTGCTTCCTCTGAATTGAAACAGTTTTCAACTATATAAGTTATTATCGTGCTTCATGAGCCGTAATAATTTGTTTTGGCTATTTGTATTGGTATTCTTCTACGAGGCAGTTCTGATGGTAATCTACGCCATCGTTCTGGTGGCCACACAATGAAGGAAGCTCGCGCTGTCATAAGGCCCATCGCAACTGGTCCGAAGGAGTTACTATCAAATGAATGTCCTGTGTGATCACCTTCCACCCAACAATGACCTTCCGGTACTCGAACAATTTCTTGTTTGTAACCAATTGTTGAAACAACATCCCCCTCAAGTCCCACAACTCTTTTGATTATTTTTTGTCTTGGGTCTTTAGGTGATATAAGTGAAACAATATCTCCGCGTTCTATTCGATTTGTTTTCACAGCCCATTTCGTTAAAAACACATAATCAGTTTGATTTTGACTTGGATTTAACACTGGTTGCATGGAAATTCCTATCAAACGATATTTGTATATATGACAATTTAAAATAATTTTTTTTTTGTTATGACATACCATCCACTCTGGCTACATACCCCACACAGTCGAAAAATGTTATGCCAATAGGTATTCCTATTAGTATGGATTTCGCAAATTTCTTAAGATATATAGCCATTAAAAAGTCTGTAGCGATGCCGTTTCTTCGACTTATTGGCCAACAGTTCAAAATTCTTAACTATGTTTTCATGTCAGTTTACTCAATTTATAGATTTCAAAATTTAAACAAATTTATGAAAATTGTACTAATCATTATTATCTAAGAAGTTGCATGTTATTTCTATCAACAAATAGCAGCTATGTTCCTTTAACTTAATTTAGTTTGAAGCATAGAGCTTACACAATTGTTCTAGCAGTGAAACATATTTGAAAATTTGTCAACAATTTTAATATATATACACGCTTTTTACATTTTCTTTAACATCTTATAAATGAAATATATTAAATTCCTACGCAAATGTCAAGGTTTAGCATGTTATAGTTTTAAAATCATGAAAAAACGGTCTTGCCATATATCATCAAAGCAATAACCGAACTATTGTGAACCTGGATTGGAAAATTCAACAAAAATTTCAATCATTTGTCAAAAGTTTGTAAACAAAAATTCGAACAAAATTAAAAAGTTTCACAAATTTTAAAATTGTGGAAATGAAATATTTTTTTTAAAACATTTTACACATCTTAGAAAAGTATTATTTATTTATTTTAATTAATATTTATGAGAAGAGCACATATAAAATTAATTGAACGTTTTACTTGCAAAAAATTTAACTGATTGTGTTTTACTATATAAATATAGCCATAATTTTTTTTCAGAGTACTAAAAAAATACTCACAACTTACAAAAGAAACATATAAAGCAATGAAAATGCTCTTAAAGTTTTTAGAGTTACTCGCAGAAAATTGTACATCTTGAGTTTTAGTGCAGCTAAACTCAAAAATCAATCTATTGTGAATGTTTATTGGAAATATGTTGCAAAATTCCAGTCATCCGTAAAAACCATATGAGCATTTAATTTATTAATAAATTTAAATACAATAAATAAATTCATTTAAATATATAACAAAAAAATGTTTACAATTGACTAATATTCATTTAGTTTTCTTTTATTTAAATTAATTAATTTTTAGTGTTTACAATTTTTATATTTCATATTGTATACAACACAACCAAAAACATATGTTAAAAAAAAGGGTTTAACATATTTTAAGAGTGATGACAATAAGTTTCAACCAGACTTAATGCTGTTTTTTCACAACTCTGAAAAAAAAAATTACGGCTTATATAAAAATGTCTAAATCAAAGAATAAATTTATTACTTTGAATTTATTATGTTTGTTTATATTAATTTTTTCTCTATTTAATATACTTTCTTCAATAGGTTGTGAACATTATTAATAGGTGCTGTTGATTTGATTTTCGACCTGTATTAAAAAATATTGGATGATGGTGAAATGTACCTTTAAATTTTACAATTAAAACTTAAAACTTATTTTTAGCTTCGATTAAGTTTTGTTTAGGGTATGTTCAAAATATTCATTTGCATTTGGAACTTATTTGAAACTCGTTGAAATCCATTTATTCAAAATGCTAGTGCGGATTTCATTTGTGCATATAAGATTTTGTATACAGAAAGCAATGTTTTGCTTCTCATTTGTAATATTTGACCCAAATCAGTTACTTGAGGCCAGTGTAAACGCCATAGAAAATAGCACTATTATAATCCTGACAGAAATCCCGATGACTTCACTAGCTATAATTTCTAGCGAACAATTATTATGTTCGTGACTAATTATATATAGATACACATATATTATATATAACATGAAATATAAGTTGTTAATATACACAACTTATTTGTGATAAACTTATTTGTTAAGAACATCTTTGAAAAATATTCTTTGATAGAAAAAGAAATGCGTTGGAATCACTGTCAGCTGTCAAATTTTTGTTGATTGCCGGTAGTAAATTTTTTTAAGTTGGTTGTTTAGTAAAATGGCAGAAACTTTAACACGATTTCCTGCAAATCCTGTTGGAAAGGTATTTAAATCATGCCCAAATGGAGCGCTTATATACTCTGGCTTTCGCAGCATAAATTATGTTGCCATCTTTGAGAACCAGAACCCAACTGTAGAATGTTTTTATACGCGACAACCTATTAATGAAATAAGCGTAGATCCGAAGTGGCCAATTGATGACGGTGTAAATTCAAGGAGGTATAAAAATTCTATTGCGCTTTACTTAGATTTAGATTTTTTATTTAAGTTACATTGTAATGTTGTAATATTAGTGATCACAATTTTAGATTTCATAAGAAACTAACATTTTATTTATAGATATTTTTCAGTTCTTTTCGAGGATAATATCGTTCAAGTATGGGACTTCGAAAAAGGATGCCCTTTATATGGACACAAAGCCCATGTCCAACAAAGTCACGTGGAGGGAAAGGGCGATAAATTTAAAATTGTTTTAATGGATTTCATGAGCAACTCTAATCTCATGACTCTTGATTCCCAGGATGTTATTGTGTTATGTTGTAGTTCACAGAATTATATTAAACGGCGTAACTTTTTGAATTTACGGTCAGACAAATTATTGTCATTAAGTTGCTCACAATTTAATGCAAACATTTTTGCTGTGGGAACAATACGCGGAGTCGTATATGTTTGTGATGTACAAAAATCGGCCGTAATTCATGCTTTGCGAGGTCATCGAGAAACAGCAATTTCATCAATTGTTTGGCATTGCTTTAGTCAAAATACATCTAAAGAGCAAGAAACTGATGATGATAAAGTTTTAGATATGTCTGTTAATAAAGATTTAAATAACGAGTGCAAGCAACTAGCTAATGCAAAATCGGATGATATCTTCAGTCATTGCTTTAGTCAAAATGCATCTAAAAAACAAGATCCTGATGATGGTGAAGTTTTAGATACACACATAAATAAAGATATAAATAACGACTGCGAGCAACTAGCTATTACAAAATCGGATGATTGCTTCAGTCAGGAAGAAGAACTGAATAAAGATGAACAATGCCAAAGTTCTGAGAAAAATATAGCACATAATAAAAGTCTTTCAAGCGACGAAAGCTTAGCAACTATTTGTAGTTCATCAGATGACGAAATAGCAGTTGAGGGTGACCCAAATTTGTTAAAAACTAAAGTTTTATATAAAGCTCAGGTGCATGCATCGTTAGGTGGTTCTGACAAAAGTAATCAATCAATTGATAAAGGTGAGTAATTTGAAAATTATTAAGTAAACTGTAAATATAGTAAGTAGATATATATTAAGGTTCAACCATATTTAAAAGCGTTTTTTGTTATATTTCAAATTATTATAATTCATATTTATTATCTAATAGTTGGAATAACACCTGAAGACACAGTTGAAATTGAGGAACCTAAAGATAATATATCAAAATCCAAAGAGTTCGCAGGTAATTCTTATACATAAAATTTAAAAATATTATATTTTATAAATATATAAGGTATTTTTAAGCACAAGAAAATCATAATTCACTTTGTAATGAATCTACTCTGAATGATAGAATGATAAATACATATCCAAATATCTCTAAGTAAAGTAAAAAAATCTTAATAATAATAGCCCGTTCAGTTCACCTGTAAAAAGCATTTGTTAGAAATTGATACCCTAAAAAGTAATATTTTTTTTTCATTTTTTCGAAGTACTTATATACCAAGTATATGACTTGATATATAGAATATAAATTAGATATACTGACAACAGTTTCTATTGTTCACGATGCACTGAAAATCTGTCGCAAACTTCTAAACTTGAATTTTTATTATTGTTATTTAAGTATTTGTGTATAAAGCTTGGTTTTACATCCAGTTTGTGAAGTTTAAGAATCTCTAAATTTCATTAATATTGTTTATGCTTCCAAGAACGGCCAAGTCTATACACCAGAGACAATCGTTGAAGACGACTAAGCGCCGTTCAACATCTTCCAAAGGGTGCACACAGGCTGAATTCGGCGGGCTACAACAACAACAATATTGTTTACTGTTAGGCTCCAAATCGTTGAAAAGCGATATACCTTATGTAGTTTCTCTTTTTGTATTCATCAATTAAAAAATATTGTGAGAAATTTTAAATTTAGCTGCTTGATTCCCGATAGACAGAACCATTGAATACTACCGTCATTCTGAAGGGATTCCTTACTCTTTCTATTTTTGTTTATCAGCGACAAAATTTTCTTGAAGATTATATCTAGGCCATAGTGTCATGCTCAAAGTATTAAATATTAATTGTTTTTTCGATATAAAATTTCCTATTTAAAGTTGTTTTGTATTAGATTAGGTTAATCTAGTATAGGTTAGGTTGCATTGGTGTCTAGCGAAACCAGATAGTATTACACCTTTATGTAGGTTTCGTAGGAGACCAAATTTGCGAATTAAAGGGGTGATTGCAGCCCTATCTCTGCAACAGTGCAGAGTAATCTGTTCTTTTATAAAGATCTTTTTAAGCGTGTTACTAGACTAGACTTTAATGGGATTTAAACGCAAACCCTGTGTATAGTCTATATATATAAATATTGTGTCTACGGAGATATTTGCCATTATTAGCTCTTTGAACCTAAATTCAGTTGTGTGAACAATAGTTTTGCTTCTGCATTTCAGTAGTCTTTAAACGAGCCTTCAACCATGTTTTTTCTTTAATGAATTCCATAAGTTCCAATAAGTATGGATTATAAATTTGTAAAACTTAATAAGGTAATAGTGTTACTAATTGTATATATATATGATTATATTGATTATAGTAATCTATTTTCTTAATATGTATTCAATAATTTTTCTAGATGAATCCGACTATGATTTGATTAAAAAACATATTATGTTAACTTCTGTCAGTGCATATAATGGCACATATTGCGTGTGGAATTTTGAAAATGGCAAATTGTGCGATTCAATTAAAACTCCTGGCCAAATTCTTAACCCAAAAAGTAATTGAATTATTTAAATTTTTATTTATGTTATGTTTAATCATTTGATCATTTTTAGGACAGCTTAGTGTTAATTGGAAGAATGAGCATACAATCATAGGTATCAGTAAAGAAGGCGAAATTATGTCTTGGACATGTGATCCTCCAACATATGATGATCAAAACTCGAATATCTCTTTGAAATTCACAAAAGATAAGCAGTTGAATTTAAACTTTGCTGCAGACGCAATTTGTTACGATAATAACAAAGAAATAATCTGGTGTAGAGGTGGTTCGCGTCAAATTATTTGTTTTGATTTGGTCACAAAAAAAGTATTGGCTAGTTTTAATACTGTTTGCAATGGAATATATGATATCAAAGAATGCCCTGATGATATGAATAAGTAATAGAAGCTCTTAAATTTATTTCAATTTTTATTGATTTATATTTTAATAGAATATTGTTGGGATTTTGTGATCACTCATTTGGATTATTAGATATAGTAAAACTAAGTCCGACCAATATTAATATACAGTCATTATGTCGTGCGGATTTAGTTGTGAATTGCATAACTTGGTCTCCAGATTGCTTAAGTTTCGCTTATGGAACAAATGAAGGAACCGTGAGTATTATTTTTTAAAATTATAACCTATAAGATTCAGTTATAAATTAAAAAAAGGTTTAAATACAATAATGATGTTGCAAACAAGGATCTATACACAACGAAAGTAAAAGTATCCTAAAAATAATATTTTTGTAAAAAGAATATTACTGAAAATTAACAGCATGTATGACAGTGGATTATAATTTTGTTTTAATATAAAATCGCAAGTGAATTTGTTAGTGAAAAAAAACTAAAATTCACAAAACTTTAAGTTAGTATAACACAAGTTAAGTACGGTATTTGGTCAGTTGGTTAATAAACGTAACTCTGCACTTAAAATTTAGCAAGTAAAAAGCCTTGGTACTTGTTACAATGGTTCAGTGGCATCGTACCACTGAAGTGATAAAATTTCATGTCTGTAACTCTGCACTTTAAATTTAGCAAGTATCAAGCTTTGGTACTTGCTACATTGGTTTATGACACCGTGTACTAATGAAGTGAAAGAATTTCATGACTCTGACCACGGCTAGCTTCAATTTGTGCCTCATCTACACATATACACTTTTATATTATATCACATCACCATTCCCCTTATATTCGGTTAATAAACCCTGCATTCATGTTGTAGTCCATTCATGTCTTCTGCTCTACAAGTCCCTTCAAATTACGACAGCAACAACATTCTTTTGTCTTTCAATAATATCAGCTATTAGCAATCTTTCCAAGTATTTTAATCTTAAATTGGGCTATAATAACATTTCATATTTTTCTTATTAACACCAATAAACAGTCGTCATCTTGATTTAAACCTTTTACCTGTATCCAATGTTTGGATTAATTATTTTATGTTAATGAATGAATTTTATTTAGTGTAAGTCTTAAAATAAATTAACATAAATTAAAATTTAATTTATTTTTATTAGGTTGGTGTTGTGAACGTTGATAATAAAAAGCATATATTCCAAACGAATTCAGTAGGCAACAAACCGATTTATACACTTGACTGGGAAACAGAAAACTGTCTTTATATAAATTATAAGGACAAGATTGCAATGATGGATTTAAAAAGCAAAACAAAAGGTACGTAAGAAATATATTTCGTTAAGAATTAATATTTAGGGATTATCCTTAGGACGGTAAGTTTGAGTTGTGGAATCACGTTGACCATACGAAATTGATGTTTGTGTGGAATGCGTTTGTGATTTCTTAATATTTGCCAAATGAATAGTTTCACGATGAAGATCCCACTTATTGAAAGTGGAATCGTTTTTGTTTGCTGGTATTAAATCGTTAACTATAACCATTTCAGTTTGCGTGTCGATATTTTTAAATTTAGGATCATCTTTGACATCATTCTCATGATCCCGTTTAAGAATAATATCCATTAAATTGTATAATAATGTTAGATCGATTGATGTAAAAATCGTATTATTCAACTTAAGTATAAACTCCTCAAAGTGACGTTGCGCGAATTTCGATAGACCAAGATTAGAAAAACCAAACTTGATCTTCATATTGTCACATATCTGCTTGTTTATGGTACCTGGTAATAGAACCCCCTGAGTTAATGCTATAGTTAGAGAACAGTGTTTCTCTATTATTGACGGCTGTTAATATATTTCATATTAATATAATAATTAGTGTTAATATAATTATTTACTTACTATTGCCATAAAATTAGTTTTGAGTTCCCTTCGTTCTATTTCTTTAAGATTTTCTTTAAATGTATAAACTAATGGTGATTTTGTTAGCATACTTTTTTTGACGCTAGTTTTAAGTATTTCTAAAAAATTTTTGCGTATAGATTCGGAATTATATTCGTCCATTATATCTTTAATTCTGTTAATTTCAACTAATACATTTAGGTTAAAATTTAAGTTATTCCACAGTTTGGACAAGTAATTGAAATGAGGCTAGAGAATAATTAAAAAAAAGATATTAATTATGTTTAATCATGTATAAATTAAATATATACTAATAATCGTTATAGGGTTAATTATTTAACCTATCAGTACAAAATATCGCCCTTACAGTGCAGTGTGCGTATACTGAAAAGATTTTTACAAAATCCTTGAATTTTATCAAGACACTTTAAACTTTAAGAATGCCTTGAAATTTCAAAAATGGTTCCTACAAAACCTACATAGAGGTTTAACTGTATCTGGTATCGGTAGGGCTTAGTGTATCTGATATCGGTAGATTTAAGTGCATCTTACAGCCATCTTATTAACCTAACCTAACCCATCATCATGGAACAAGAAAAGCCTATAAATATATATTTATATATATATATTTATTTATATATTTATAATTTTATATTTATATTTATATTATACTATGTATATTAATATGGATTTATCATGTTATATATATTTAATACTTTTATATTAGAATATACATATATATTCACTAATTTTATATAATATATATATATATATATATATATGAAAAAATTTTCGTAAAATACTACTTTTATAAAGAAATAATAAAAAATTGGTTTCTTTATGGGTGAAGCAAAAGGGACTGCTATTATACTTGCAAGAATTGTCAATTAGCTTAATATAGGTTTCCATATGGCAAAGCGTATAAATATCACGCATATATACGTGTATCTCAAATGTGTGCTCTAACTGTAACTTTACGCCCTAGGTTTCTCATTTATGTTTTCTTGTTGAAATACACATACAGACTTGGACTAATCTCTTTCGATGGCTTCATCTCTTCAATGTAATAAGTTTTCTTTATATGAACCCAGATTAGATTCAATATTCCCACCTATTTGTCTTTATTATTTAGACACTACTCTCCCTCTGAATCATCCTCCTCAATCATTTCTTTTGTGTATGCTTTGAACATCTTTTATGGGATTTAAAGAGACTACAGAAATAACAACAACGAACGACTATTGGTAGTTATTAAATACAAAAACTTATATCGACTTACAAATATAACTTCTCTGTTAATTGCTGTACGAAACTTCAGTAATTCTATGATCCTATTTATGACACATGTGAACTTCTCGATATTAAACTTAATCTGTACCTCGCATTTTTCAAATTTTTCTATTACTTGTTTCAAAAATTTTGTATACACCTCAAATAATACAGTATATTTGTTTAATAATCGAAGTTTTTCCATAGGCCAAGTACAACTTATAGTGCGTTTTTCGGAATCTAGCTGAATCATTTTTGATATACCATCAACGGACATTTCGGATAGTTTCATAACATCTGCTTCCGCTTCCTTCAAAGATTTTTTTGTATTATTTTTTGCCATTTCAAGATCACCAATCACTATAAGAAACCCATTAAATCTATTAATCCAGTAAATTTAACATACAACATACAATCTCGTATTCCTTCATGGTTATTGCTTGGACCTAATGCAGTATACAACATAATACCACACACAGTTTCACTTAAGCGTTTCAAATAAGCCACGCGATTGTAGCGTTTTTTGTGTATGTAAGTTTTTAAGTCATCGGCACCAATGACACTGCTTAACGCTTGCTTACCGTTTCTCAAGAGCTAAAAACAAACATAATATTTCTAACACAAAATATAAATTAATATTTATAATTTATATACCACAGAATCTTTAGGATCGCCCATCGTAAAATTTATTATTGTAAAAATGATCATTTTATGGAAAAGTTCCTCAATTTGCTTCTTATTGCTGTTTTCTGGATACTGCAGAATATCATGCAGGAAAAATTGCAATTTTTGTTCAAATTCCTTCTCATATTTTTCAGTTAAAAACTCGTTTTCCAGTTCCTTGCAATTGTTGACGGAGTATACCATCTTAAAAGTACAACCTGTCGGATCTAAAGGATTTTCAAGTATCCTCAAGGCCCCCTCTATGAAATAAGCTATGTCACAAGATGTCAGCTTGCGCATAGGCAGTCCATCACGTGAGTCACGTGCCAACAAATGTAGATAATTGTAGGCAAATTTCTCGTCGACTTCCAAATTCCGTTCTTCACATTTTTTCATAAATTCGTCTAAAATTGAGCCCAATAAAAATGATACAACCATTTTAGACTTAAATTTAATAAAATAAATAGAATAGATTCTCCCTTAACAGAAGTTTTTTTTATAATTTTTCCAACAAGAGAATATTGTGTTTTTTTAAACAAACATTACTTTATTTGGTTGCTAAGATATTTAGTTAAAAAATAAATTTAGTCATACAATTTAGTGCTGTGAATTATTTCTACTAGTCACATTATTGCGAATAAAGGCTATAATAATTTTCAGTAAAAAGGGACAGTAACGCAAGCAAGAAATTTATTGTAAAACCGATTTTTATCGGTAGCGATTTTTCAGTAGCTTTTGAATGGAATGGATGAAATGAAATGAAATGGACTGTATCAGATTTGTCAAAAAGCTTGTAACCTAGAATGTAAAACGTCGAGAACTATCTAAAAAATATTATTATTTATTTATTAAACAGCTAGGACTAACTGGATGTCACGACCACTTGGGCCTTTAGACTAAAAGCTAATTCGGTAGGCTTCGTAATACTACAAGGGCTGTCTTTTAAGACTTGCGCCTAACAATAAATACACAGTGGTTAATTAGAAAAAATGGTTTGATTGTTTTCCAAAGTATTCTCTATGATGATTAATACATTTTTGCATTACTATTATTATTATTATTCCATTATTATTATTATTATTATTCCATTATTATTATTATTATTACAATGTCTTTATGTATTATACTTTGGGTAAAGAAACCGCTCTTAATAAGGCATAGGGCGGAAACATTTTTTTCATTAGATTGAACCAATTAAACCAAACAGTTTTGCCACTTTGAAGATAGTATTTCTAAAACCAGGGCTTTGGATGTCTTAACGATCTGTTCGGTCGTAGAAAAAACGGTCGACATGTTTTTTTTTTCTCATTCGAAATTGTAAAGGAGTTGACTCATTAATTCAACGTTTTGAGTGCTTAAAAACTCTTTTGTTTGAGCTGTCGTGTAGCAGCTCGCATTGTCGTGGTGGAGGATGTTTTTCCTTCGACGGTTGGTTTTCCTCAATTCTCCGAAGACTTTCGGGAAAAAAGTGGTGGTGTGGCACGATGAATTCATCGTTCTACGTTGTTTAAGTGGCACAGTTGCGATATGATCGGTTTTTCTGAAAAAACCTGCGATGCAAACAGTAACTAATATAATAAAATTTATAATTCAAAGTAAAGTTTGGATTTTTTAGAAATAAAAGGATTTTATGATGTTAATGTTGTTGAGGGGATTTGGAAGTGAAGATGTAGACATATTAGAGAAGATTTGAGTCGTAAAAATATCTTCCAGAAAAAGAGGTTCTACTTAAATGAAAAAATTGTTATTTAAAATGTAGTATGATAAGTTGTAAAAATACTATAAAAATTGAAGGAGTATATATTCAGGAATATTCCTAAAACTTGTCTATCATAATGTCAGAATATATTGACAAATAAGCTAAAATGTAGCCGTTAAGACATTAAATGACATCTGTATTATTTCCAACCAGATCTTAGCATTTAAGACCAGACCTTACTGGGATTTAAATCCAGACTATGTGTGTCATAATTGCAGTACATTGTTACTTCAAATAAATGAAATCATAAACAAAAACTGTCATAATTCGTGCTTACAGTTAGACAGGACAAATAGGCTGTATGAAGGGTGGTAAAACTGCAATTGAGGCATCCATTGGAAATAGACATGTTATTCGTGATAATAACTGTTTAGTACTTAAATATCTATTGACTTAAGGAGACCCAGAACAGTGCTAGCTGCTGAGGAAGAAGTCTTTCATTTCTGGAGATTACATGTGAAGGCTGTTAAGAACTTTTCTTCACCACTGTTGTATCGCAGTAAACTCCTGTTGTTAGAATATATCCGAGGTAATTCATGTCTGTAGTAAAGGCGATTAAAATACAGTAGATACCGTTCCATAATGTTTGGACCATAAATAGTAGTAAGTGGTGTAAATCTTTTACCACAAGCGCCAGGGCCCCACAGTTTAGGCTAATTAAAATTGGCCCATTTCATGGGTGTATCGTGGTGACTGTTAAAACCCAAAGTTATGCAAGTAGAGTGAGTGTATTTATCACTTCAGTAGAGTTGAATTTTTTAACCGGTTGTGTTAGATGGGCCTCACTTTTTTCAAAGAATGAAACTATATCCAAACGTATAGCTACAATAGGTATCGGCGAAATTCTTTGAAATTTTGTTGCGCCGTTTATCGTCGCATTATACTGATACGTGTGTTAATAGTACCTTAATGGCAGGTATAAAAAAAACTTAGTTTGATAAGTCTTATTTGTAAAACCCAATGTAACTCCATTGGGTGTTGTGAATAGTACTGTTATAAATGCTAAAACTCCTGAAATCAAGTGACGTAATGCAGTTGGCTAATAGGACATAAAAACCTTAACTTCGCTAGATAGCACATAAATGTTGTGTTTATATTAATTTATTTTAAATATCATGTATTTAAGTATATAACGAAATAATAAAATTGATTTTAGTATTTATTTCGTTATAAGAATGTGAATTTACCTAAAACTTTAATAATTAATTGTTGTTAATACTATAAAAAATGGAAAAATAATTAAAATAATTGTGCATTTAAAATATTGTATGTAAATAAAAATGATTTAATTTGATGTATTTTTAGATGTTTACACTATCCCAGAAATGGGTAATGCTTCATGTATTAGTTTTCGTGGCTATTTTGCATTCTGTGGAACTCAAACTGGCTATTTGCAAATGTTTCGAATGGCATCTCCAACAAGATTTGTATTCATAAAATCCATCAAAGTGCTATCGCGTTACATTAGTCGAATTAGTTGGAGTCCAATAGTAACAGATCGCTTTGCTGTAGTTGGCTCAAATAAGGAAATCCATGTTTTCAGTTTTGATGAAAAGTCAATGGAGTTAATGAAAATTCACACATTAAGCGTTGACAATCTGCAAAATCAATTTTCAGATATAAAATGGAGTAACAGTGATGGGGATAGATTTGTAACATGCTCTCTTTCAGGCGAGGTTCGTGTGTGGGATATGAAAGAACAAAATAATAAATTAATCACTACTAAAGTCTTCAATTGCCCCATACGTTGTGCTATGTTCTTGCCAACCGATGAGAATATTGTTTTGTGCTGTGGTAAAAATTTATCACTGGAAACATTTGATATACGTTCAAACTCCGTATTGTCAACTTTAAATAAGCGTGTTAGCTCAATAGATAACATTCTATGGGCCACTAAAGCTTCAACTGTTATGCCTAAGCGTAAAAAGAATACAGGCCTCAAATCTGAAGAAATGCAGTCTACAATTAACATGGAAGATAATAACGAAGATCACATAAATGACAATAATTTGGATCTTGAAGGTAACCGAGAAGAAAACACTGCAAAGACTGTAGATGAAACTAAAGAACGTGTTCAATCAATTACCGCTGTTAGAGAAAAAGTAATTGTAAATAAAATATTCTCTCGGTTTTTTAATTGTACAATTTTTTTTTCAGGAACCAACGACAGTTCTTTACATGATAGGCAAAGAAATCAATAGGAATGCCAATCAAATATTATTAAATATTTTAGATAAACGCAGTCAAAAAGAGCGAAATGACGATACGAGCTTATGTGCTAAGCTTTTTGGTAGCAAAGATGATTTGCAAGAAATTTTTAATGCTGAATGTAAGATAGAATTTTTATATTTTCTATTGTATATTAAATACAGCTCCATTCAACTGAATAGACCTATGAATAGACCTACTAATTAAGTAATAAATTTAGCTAACTATATCCGGTATTCTCTTGCATTTGAGGTTCAATGTAAGTCTAATCATTTTGTGGCATTATCTGACTTAAATATTCGTTATTGTGTTGTTATTATAGTCCTTACTATAGATCTGCTTGTTATGCTTCTGACAAGTGTCGAACGAATGAACTGTGCATGAAGGGTCTATTCGGTGGAATCGTACTAAATATTTTTATTAATATAATTAATATATATTTCAGTAAACCAGATTAAGATGTCAGGGGTAACAGGAACAAATCTAGGTATAATACCATGCCTAACAGGTAATATTAAAGAATACATCGTGAAGCAAGCAGAAGCTAAGAAGCTTACGGAATGGCATTTGATGATGGCACCAAAAATTTCAATTAGGTAAGTACTGGTCATATTTTTTTTATATCTTGGATATTAAATATTAATATAATAAAATATAATAAAAAAGTAGATGTATTAAAAACTAATTGTTTCTAACGTTATAAACAAGAATATTAATTATAATAGAACTTTTCAATTGAAATTTCAAAAGTATTCTTAAAAAGAGTAATTAAATAAATTATTAAAATATATATTAGAGAAAAACACAGTGCTAACCCACATATTTCACAACATGAACAACTTGAAATATTATTTAGAAATAAACTAGAACTCCGATCTATATTGCTGTAAAATAGAACACAAATAGTGTTAATTCCTTATTAGGATCAGGGTTCTTCTTTAGGGGGAGATGACCCGACTTAGAGGGACAAATATTTGGAGGTATAAAATCACTATACATGCTTGTTTGATTAGGCCTTCCCTTTGATGAAGGACTTCAATGAGCAAAACTCATTTCGAAAAAGTAAAGTGTTATTATTTGTTACTTTCAACATAATGATTTCTATTAAACATTGCTCAAAGAGCAGAAAACACTCATAAAAAGTTTTCAACTTTAAAGGTGAAATATATTTAAAATTTTTTGGATATGTGTGTGGACTTAGAACATTTTTGGATAGTAAGTTACGATCTGTGCCCTATACTTTACCTTCTGCATTCCAGACTGATAAAAGAATACTTCCTCTTTTCAAATTGTTATTGAACTCAAATATTTATAAAATATTGTAGATTTGAGTCAAGTATTTTGAGATCACTTTAATATTTATAAGTACCGATAGCAATGCATAGTTTTCAAATTATATGAAATAAATTTATATTGGAATTGAAATGTTTATACAAAAAAATTAAATTAATCATAAAATTATATTTTCGTTATAGATTTTGGGAAAAGTGCATGAATGCTTTCGCATTGCAATTGAAGGATGAAGGCAAACCCCTTTATTCTGCTTGTACCTATATAGGTATTAATAAGATCTCTGAAGCCATTAAAATCTTATACGACCGCAATCTATTTCGCGAAAGTTTCTTAGTGGCGCGCTTATACTTAGAACCAGATGATCCGAAAATCATTAAAATTTTTGAAGATTGGGTATTGTATTTAGATTTAACTGGCAACTTTAGTGGAGCAAGTTTGCTGTAAGTTTCACTCTATACACACTGGATTTATTTAAAAATAATTTAATAAATTGTATTTTCTTTTTAGCTGCTTGCTGTCTGGTGAAAAGAAACGAGCCTATGACTTGATATGTAAAATTCGTCAAAGGGACGAACATATTGAACACATAATTAATATGTTTTCAAATACTTCTATATAGAATCGTTCTTGTTTACGAAAGACGTTTTATATAGTGCCACATTTTTATATTTTTATTAAAAATTCTATATATAAGTTTAAGTTGTATATAATAGATATATAATAAGTCCGTATATTATATATGCGAATATTATATATATTATGTATACGTATTTTTCGAAGAAGGATAAGCAGTTTTATTAGTTGCTTTGTGGATATAATAATAATTATAAATGCATTATTATTAAAATTCAAAATGAAATTATAAACGTATTTCAAAGTTGAGAAGATAGAATTAAAAAGATTTCCATAGATCAATAATAAAGATAACAATTTATTCTAACTTGCATAACCTGGTATAAAAGGTGACAACAAATACGTTAGATTATTTTTTATTTGAGAAGATAGAATTAAAAAGATTTCCATAGATCAATAATGAAGATATCAATTTATTATAACTTGCATAACCTGGTATAAAAGGTGACAACAAATACGTTAGATTATTTTTTATTTAATTATAACTTAACGAATAATAGTGCTTAATTACAACATATCAAAATTTTCTAAATCAATCAGTTTCATTAGCTGCTTTTTAATTTCAGTTAAAATTATAAGAGTATACATTCTAAAATTGGAAACAAAATTATAAAAGTATTTGGAATTTTTTTTTTCGATAATTTTTCTTCCATAAAAGCAAAGCTTAATATGGTTAATATATTTAAGAGAAATACTATATTTAACGAAGATGTTTAAGTTTAAATGAATTTTCAAATTATTAATTTTAAATTGAAGACTTAATTTTTTGTAGTAATATAAGTGGCATAGTCAAAAAGAGGCTTAATGGCATAATTTTCATTAATATTTTTTTTTATTATTTACACCGTTATTGTTTAAAATAAAAATGATTTATGAATTGTTACTAAATTGACATAAGATTTCAAATAAAAATGAGAAATAAAACTGAATTGCTTAATACATATTGAAATTTAATCAAAGCTTTCAGATACGTCTTATTAATAAGGCCAACTTTTAGCCAGACGAAGGAGTAGCGCCAATTTCTATATAGAGTCCAGCGTACAAATTTGTTAATAATATCAACATCGCATCAATCACTTTTCTAAATTCGGAAAGAAGAATTTAAGTTTAGTAAAAGTGAATTCAGCATCTACTTCAAGTGAATTGAATTCTAGTGAATTGTAATAAATCATTTTAATATTTTTGAAATGATAAAATTAAGATAACTGATTTGATTTCGTGGTTCCTGAAATGTCAAAAATTACTTTCACAACTATAAAATCGATGTGGCAATTTTCTTCGAGTATTGCTAAACGGATTCATGTCCAGATAAAGTGCTTGACACTTCAATGTTTTTGCTTTAAATCTCTTCCATATAGCGTTATCTTGCTGGAAAGTAAAATGTATTCAGATGATGTTTCGAAATTTTGAGTAAACTTTCATTTAATAGATTCAGCAAAACAATATAAACTCTTCAAATCATATTCTTAAAAATTAAATCTAACTATAAAGGTTAAATACTTTTTGTCAAAAGATCTGTATATTTCTTCTGACAAAATATCACATCATATGGATCATCTTAAAAAACGACAGAATACAGTGTCAGTATTGAAAAAATTACTATTTTAATTTTGATTTAAATGACTCGTTTTCAAACGACATATACAACAAGTCTTAGTTGGCAATAATCTACTGGTCTGGAGAAAATAATACTGAAGGACTCAAATAAATTGACTAAATTGAATTTTGTAAATCTATACCTATGTAATATTTTATTCTTTGGTTCTTTCTTAGTTAAAACTGTACATGCCAATTTTTAGTGCTATTTTCTTGAATTTGTTTTTATTTTGATCTTTAATACTTTTTTTTGCCTTTTTTGGTACTGTTTACTAGCTAACTTTGTGGTCTTTTAGGGTGCAGTTTTTGTGAAAGTGCAGTTTTGTTCGTCGTTGATACTACTTTGAGACGTTTTTGGTACTGTTAGCTAACACTTCTGTTGATTTTTGATACTGTCACTAAATAATTGTTTTTGTATGTTAGTTTTTACTACTTTTGTGGGTCATGATGGATGCTGCTAGCTAAAATTTTTGCTCGTTTATAATTCTATTTTTCTAAAATGGTTTTGTGTTTGTTTTTGATACTAAACAAGCCTTTTTGGTACTGTTTGTTAGCACTTTTGCACGTTTATGATGCTATTTTTTTAAAATTGTTTTTGTGTTTGTTTTTGATACTGAACAAGCCATTTTTGTATTGTTCGTTAACACTTTTGTTCGTTTATGATGCTATTTTTCTAAAATGGTTTTTGTCTTTATTTTTTATAAATCTTAAATATTTTTTAGTACTGTTATTTAGCACTTTGGCTCGTATTTGATACTGTTTTTCTAAAAATGTTTTTATATTTGTTTTTGATGCTGAACAAGCGTTTTTTAGTACTGTTAGTTAACACTTTTTTTGATAATAATTTTTCGGAATTATTGTTATGTTTATCTTACACTAATTTTGATACTATTGGCTATGTTTTTTTGCTTATTTCTGATAAAGTTCTTGTGTTCATCTTTAATATATATATAGAGTTTTTTGTTACTCTTAGCTAACGCTTCAATTTTCAATTCAGCTAACTAAATCATTTAACGCTTACTTAAGTAAAGTAAAGGACTTTCTTTATTTATTATGAGTTTAATACAGAATAATTTTTTCAATATCTTATAATTACTTCAGTTTATTAAATATTGGAATTTATTTTTTCTGTTATTTATTTCTAAAGAATCTAGCATATTTTCAGGCTAAATGGAAATTCCATGAAACATAATATCTTTATTGTATACCACAAGCAGTCGTTTTAATTTTATTATTTTTTTGTTTTTTAAAAAATTTTAAGAAAAAAAATATTGTGAGGGTGATATACGATAGTTTTTATGGGTAATGTGATTACTATAATGTTATATAAAAAGTTTTTTGTTTGTTTAGTTTGAAGCTATATGTATATAGAAAAAAATATCTAATATCGTTAACCTATATTTTCATAGGAATTCGTCCTGAGGAAAAAATTCAATGCACTTCAATGTCAGTGACATTTTAATATGATTTTTATACAAAAATATTTTTTTATGATTTTATGAATTTTATATAGGAATGTTCCATTTATATATAGGAACATATATTCTTATATAGGAATAAATAACTATATAAAATAAATGAAAATTAGAAACAGCCCTTTATCATTGTCGATAAAAATGAAAATTTAAATAATAATCTTTAAAATTTTTCTAAAGTATTTAATTCATAAAACTATTGGAAAAAATTTTTGGTAAGTGCGTGTTCAGTTTGGTATTTGCGGTAAGACATGAACTTGTCAAAATTTGTTAAAACTTTTTATTAATTGCTATTTTTGTTTATTTTTTTTTTATTTTTCTGTTTAATTCCTATTCCAAATTGAATCGATAAAAAAAAATATTTTAACTAAATACATATATAACTGCTCTATTATTTGAACTAAGTTAAAAAAAAAAAAACAAATCACACAATAAACACATTTAATTTTCCTGCATATTATTATGATTACTTCCTTTGAATAGCATTATAAGCTTTTTGTAGATGGTTTTAACCCTTGGGTTTTTAATAATGCGGTAGTACAAAGGGCCTATAGACGTAAGTGGATTGGTATAACCTAACCTAACCTATTATAATTAACAGAAACCAAAAAAAAAAAAATTCAATATACATATATAAAAATATATTACAACTAAATATATAACTGGTCTATTATTTGAACTTAGTTGAGAAAAAATAAAAACTAAATCACACAATAAACAGATTTTATTTCCCTGCATATTATTATTATTAACAAAAACTAAAAATTGAAAAAAAAAAAAAATTCACACCAATTTAAGTATTTCAAAAATAAACAAAAATTACTGAGTCTTGGCTTCCCACAATTAAGAATAAACTTACTTTACCCTCAGTATAATGGTCAAGCATTGTTTACCGTAGCGTTTGCACTAATTTTTAACTCAGCACACAGATTTACGCATTAAAATTCTCATAAGAAATTAAGAAGTTAGATTAGAGATCAGAAAAAAAAATCTCAAAAAATAGCATAATAACAAAAACAAATAAATAAATGACTGACAAATTCACACAGATTAAATATAACAACAATTAGGCAAGTTAAGAGCAAAGTCAGCAAAGAACTATCAAAACTCAACTGGCCTGGCCGTAAGTTTATATAGACAAACATAGAAAGAGAGCAACTGTAAGAAAAACGTAAAATGGCTTAAACAGCTAATTGCAGTTCAAACTTCTCTATTTGTTAGCAAACTGCAGAGCTTTAGTTTAATTTTTGTTAGCATTGAACAAGCACAAGCACAAGATTTTAGTTATAAAGAAGTCGGCAAAGTGAGCACAACGAAGCATTTATTTGTCTCGAGTTTGTTGTTTAAATTAATCGTTTCCACTTTTGCTTGTGTGCTACGGTTTCGTGCTACGATTTGTGCTACGCTTTTTGCTTCATTGTTATTGTATTTGTTGTTGTAGTTATTGTTGTTACTGCTGTTACTGCTATTGCTGTTGTTATTGTTATTGTTCCTGTACAGTAATTCGAAAGCTCTTAATGGCGGTAATATGCAGTTATTTCGTTGTAGAAGCCACGCAAACTTTTAACACCAAATAATTTGTTAAAAAAAAGCAACAAAAATTGTTTATGCATCTCTAAATTTCTACGCACATATAAATAAATCAACGTGTTAATGCATATCTGTTTAATATTAGTTTGTGTGATTATTGTATTATTGTAATTACTGGTGCAGTTATAATATATTTTTTTATTAATATGAACGAAGCAAACTAGCTACATTTGAGTAACAAAACAAAAACAAAAACAAAACTAAAAATAAAAATATAAACAAAACGTAAAGCAATATTAAATTATATGTGTGCGACGCTTAAGCAATTAAAAACTAATTAAATTTATTAAAGGAATTTCGCTTTACTCTAATATTAAATGATGGTTGCCGTATTGGGAAAATGCTTAATTCTTACATAAACAAATAAAAATAGAAATATTTCTGGTAACATGTACTATAAGAAATATTTATAAAAATATATTGTTACTTCAGCTTCTTCCA